AGTCTGAGCAAAATCAGAGAATGAGCAGAAACAGATGCTCCAAGAGATGAAGCAGAAAAGAAAAATAAGTTTATTGAATTAAAGTCCCTTTACCAAATGAAGGTAGAAGAGAAAACTGGATGGTGGAAAAGCCAGCCAAGTTGGAACAAAGGAGCTTGGGCAGGGACTAAGAAGGAGGATGGCGGGTAGAGAGGGGGCGCTTTTCCTGATTTAAAGACTATAAAATTTTGATGGAGAATTGCTGTGTTGTGATTTGTGCTAGTTTTCAAATGTTTTGAGAAACATCAATAAGGAAAGAAATTTTCTTTTTTTTAAATATTTTTGTAAGCCGGGCTCGGTGGCTCAGCCTGTAATCCCGTGCCTTTGGGAGGCTGAGGTGAGTGGATTGCCTGAGCCCGCGGGTTCGAGACCCGTCTGGGCAGCGAGACCTCATCTCTACAATAAATCAAAAAATCAGCCGGGCGTGGTAGCGCGCGGCTGTAATTTCGGCTACTGGGAAGGCTGAGGCGGAAGGATCGCCGGAGCCCAGAAGGTCGAGGCTGCAGTGGCCAGGAGTGGCCACTGCACTCCAGTCTGGGCGACCTAGTGAGACTCCAACTCAAAAAAAAAAAAAAAATTTTTTGCAGAGAAAAAGTATATTGCCCAGACTAGTCTCATGCTCTTGGGCTCAAGCAATCTTCACGCCCTGGCCTCCCCAAGTGCTGGGATTGCAGGCTCAGAAATTCCTTATTATAATCATTTATAATACACATGTGTATTATTAGTGAGATAATTTTAATAGGTGAGATACTTTTGTGGTTGGTTGGAACTCTAATTTATATGGCTCAAGGCATAAAAAGAATCACACAGTTCTGTTATGGTAGGAGTGGAGATACATTGATATTTATGGAGAACCTACTGTTTTAGTTCATTTGGGCTGCTATAACAAAATACTATACACTTGGAAGTTTATAGACAATTATTTATCATAGTTCTAGAGGCTGGGAAGTCGAAGATCAAAGTGCCAACAGAGTTGGTACCTGGTGAGGGTCTAATTCTGATGGCACTTTTTTGCTCTTTCCCCTCATAGTGGGAGGGAGTTTTTGGACATCTCTTACAAGGACACTAGTCTCATTGATGAGGCTATACCCTCATGACCTAATTGCTTCCTAAAGACTCAACCTCCGAATATCATCATATTGGGGACTAAGTTTTGACATGTGAATTTTGAGGGGCACAAACATTCAGTCCATGACACCTACGAAGAGGCAGATACTAATCATATTTAATTCTCACAATAGCCCTATGAAATTATCACGTATTCACCCTTCTAAATAAGACAACGGCAGCTGGAGAGGTGAAATGTATTTATTTCCCAAGGCTATAAAGCTAGCATATAGTGGAGCAGGGGAAAAGCCTGAGCTCTCCCTGGCCTGATGCCTGGAGTGGGAACCAGAAGCTACCGCTGAATGGAAGAGTCCCTGGGCTGTTGCTGCTGCCAAAGCTGCCTGGAGAACTCTGCCTTGGCATGTGTCTGGATCCATGCTTCATTGTGAAACTGTGGGTTCTCTTGATACTTGCTTAGAACCTGTCTCAGCACAAAAGCTGGAAGGTTTATTTGCTTGTGTAGGGTCATAAATAGCAATCTACCAGAGCCTCTTTCTTTGTCCTCCCTATGCACTGGTGAAAAAAACCAGCATGAGTGGGAAAACAGCTTTTTATAAGCTTTTCCAGAAACCTTTTGACTTTTTGTTTTTCTCTCACATTCTTAACACTTTTCCTCCCTTTATTATTTCCCTTTTTCTTTATCTACTATCGAATTTCCAAGCATCTGGCTTTCTTCCCACTGATATTAATGTACAGGAGATAATAATCAAGTACTCCCTTATGAAAGCCTGGTAATTTTTAAAGTTATTTTTTACTATAATCCAGGATAGAAGTTACTGTCTAATTATCCTTTCTCACTCTAGCCAGCTGAATTGCTGGTACTATTTCTCATAGTCTTGACTAGCCCAGATTATAAGTCTTCATTGCAAAATATTCTGATCTCATATTTTTTTGATTTTGATAATAGTGACATGACTACAAAGAAATAAAGGTAATGGTTAGCTAAAACGAAGCTCAACAAAGAATTTTCTTGACTGTGTAATGTCACTAGAGGAAGTGATCACAACCTCTGTATTTCTTCACTATTTTTTTTTCTTTTTTTTTATTGGAGCAAGGGAGACCACTCTGAAGGGGACCTTAGAAAGGTTCAGTTTGAGTAAACTGAGTCCCAGGACAAACAGATGGTTAATGCAAGTGACAACCCCAGGCATCTATACTTTCTGTTTTGAGTTAATTCTATGTTCTTTTCTAAGAGGCAAAGCCAAAAGGTAAGGATTTGGCTAACAGAGAGATTAACCCTTTTTCTCAAAGATAGGATCCACTAGTTGAAAATACTGCAAGCTTCCACTATTTTGTCTACAAATCTTTGTTTCTGTCATTTCTTCTACCTTCTCCACCTCATTCTACTCTACCAGGCCAGCCTATCTGCATGACTGGATGGCTAATACATACAATTTGGGTTCCCAGTAAAAGTCATCTACCTTTCCCAACATTCTGGTGGCAAATCCTAAATTAATGACATCTAGAAGAAGCCTTAATACATATAGCAGGCAAAAACATTTCTTCAAACACATACACACACATACATACATACACATTGTCTTTAATACTAAAGACAATCTTTCTGCAATTTTTAGTGGCATAGCCTGGTAAGGAAGACAGTGGCACCCAGTGGACAAATGTTTGATTGTTTGTGACAAGTGTTTTATTCTGAAATATTCTCTAGAACATTCTTAAGAAATATCAGTTGTTCCCTTTTCCCTACCCTCTCACTCAATTTTTTAAATGTCAATTTAAATTTTAAAATAGGGGACAGGTGACTATTCTGACAGTTTTTGTCTTTTCAAGGATAAGACTAAACAAACACAGGAGAAAGTAAAAATCTCAAAATTAAATCCTTTAAGAGCAATGTCTATAATTGACCCATCTCATTGAGTAACAGTGAAGACAGCCAAATCTAACAAAATGCTTGCAGTGTGCTTTTATACATCATACTCTCCTTTTTTTTTCATACCACAGTCTTTTTCCAAGTACATTCACTTGGTGATGCAAATGTGGCAACTTCTAGAGCTATACTCTAATACAGTAAAACTCACAGACCCTGCAACTTAATGCTATTGTGTAGTTTACCTTAGAGCCATAAAAATACCCATTTTCACTTTCAGTCTTTTCCATTCATTCTATTGTTTGTGGGCTACTTGGGTAAAGAATCCCTTACTTATATGATTTTCTCCCCAAAACACCTACCCAGAACCTTACTTATGGTGGGCACAAAGAAGCTGAGTGAAATCCATTTTCCCTTGTATCTGCTAAACATTGAAAAAATAAATACATCTAATTGTTTGGTGTTATATAAAGGGATCATCCAGCTAAGAATCTTAAATATTAGAGGCTATTTGTATTGGATAAAAATATTTTATAAAAGACAAAAGGAAAAGGTGCTTTTATGAGTGAATTAACTCTTACTGATTTAAATGAGAAATCATTAAAAACCAATTGATTACAAAATAAACATATATCTTTTTAATGCAACCTAATGCCTGCAGGGTGCCCTCTTTTAGTTAGTCATTTACAAATGCTTCCCAATTTGGAGGCTCTGAAATTCTGTTTATTTTGCTTTGGAGTGGTATCCCATGTTTATCATTATGCTCTTTGTAATTCATAATTTTGCCACAGCTTGAGGCTTGTTTTGTTTGTTTTAGAGGAAAAAAAAGTTGGCAGGCTAAAGCTATGTCTTGAGGCTGAGATGGAAACTTTCCCAAAAGGGCAACATGTTTTCATTAGTTGACACAAGTTTCTTGGTGACCCTTTGTATTGATCACTTTTAGTCAGTAAACAATAAACACATGCCAAACTAAGGAATGCACTTTTTTTGGCAAATTGAAAAAGAAATGGAGGCCATTTGTGTGTGTATCACTACATTACATGTTAATTATGCTTCTTTTTCTCATAACACAAGCACTTCCCCCCCACCCAGTTTCTGCAAAATTCTTATAAAATTCTGATGCAATTAGATTTTACTGTACAAAGATACCACATTTTTTATTTAAAAATCTTAAAATTGTTTTTCAAAAGTCTCTAAAAATATATTATCGTCCAAATGTATCAATCCACAAGAAACCAATAAACATTTATAACATTTTAGGGCTGCCTCTGTCCTTTATCCTCCACTGACTGTCACCAAGAGTGAGCATTGGGGGACCCAGACTCTAGGCAGTTTTGCTGTTTGGGGCCAAGTTTCTCTGCCCAGTGGGGAAAGGCAACAATCGTTGCACTCTTTGCAAAGTATAATCTTATTGGGAAATATTCCAGCCCCCGATCTGAGCTTTACCCTGTCACTGCCTGTGAAATTAGGGAGCTTATGTACATGCAATGCACCTGTAACATGTCCAGGCCACCTGTGCAGGCCAGTGTGCACCTATGGTCTGCTTTTTTGCTTCTGTGAGTTTCAAAAACCCGAGGAAAGTCACTATTTGAAAAGGACTTTTCTAAGTAAAATTTCCTCAAATAATTCAAGAAGTTTCTATAGGTTTTATTTTATCTTTAAACTTATCTGCTTATAATGCAGATATGTTTTGCTCATTCAGAAAAACTGCTTGTTTAAAGAAGGTTTGCCTAACACAGACTGTGCTGAACTAAATCCAAATAAAATACAAAGTTGAAAAAAATTTAAAGGCTACAGAGGACCATAGAAATTAAAGTAAGCATTATTATGTCTAAAATGAATGAAATGTCAAGGGTGTGTGCCTGAGTGTGCATGTGTGTGTGCATGTGTAATTGCATGTGTGATTGCATGTGTGTGTGTGCCTGTGTGTGAATTAATAGGGACAGAAGCTAAAATTTGTGTTTGGATTGACACTTGCTATACTGCACACTAAGAAACATTTGTTTCCAGTTCTTATGACAGGTATTACTTGTTCCTCTAAAGCTTTAGCCTTTTCTTCTGCTTCCATCAGGCACATCTTCAAAGACTTGATCTGGGTAAGGTAGACTCCGTCTGTCCAGTGTCCAGGGAAACTCGCTTTAAAACAATAATCAAGTATTTCTTTTTGAAATGAATAGTATCCTGAGTGCATTTCAAACAATTTTATGGACTAAGGATATACTTGACAAACTCATACAAATCCTTCCATTTTCTTAACACAGTAATAAAACAGCAAATTGTTTTAACAACCATAATCTTTAACAGTTTCGAGCCTAAAAGGAGAGTAAAAGTTATGATGACAATGAACAGATTTTGACAGATAAAGTTACTCACATTGGGCTTTGGTTATTCCTACTTCAAGAGGTTAGAACCAAAATTTCCCGCTCCTAATGGGAGATGTCACCTATAATGCCTATGTTTTTAACATTTACCTATCAAGAAAAACAGGATCATCTGAACTCAGAAAAGCCCTGTTTTCTCTGATCTTCACCTTCTGATCATGTGTCATTAAAACAAAGACAGTACATGTTTTAGAATCAGATCATTCTTCCCCAGAGCATGGCTAGTATGACTCAAATCAGCAGATGTGTAGACTTTACCTCTCAAAATTGTTCTAAAGTTACCTTTTCTCAGCTACAAACTGAAGAATATGCAAGATTGGTATGAAAATATCAGGCACAGACCCTACTGAGACTTGACCACTTTCTAACTATTCTTTGGTTATTGTGATCATTAATAATTACAAAGCAATATAAAACTTGGTAAACCTCAAATGTGCTAGGACTGTGACCTTTCCTATAGCTTCCCTGGGTGTGTCTTGTTTTCTTGTGAATTCTTCTGCTGCTGCAGCTGCTTCCAATTAACCACATAAAGAATGAACTGTGTTCCTACATATTTTAAAGTTCTAACTGCTGCTTTGTTTTTTCCCCTGATGGTTTATGAGACCACCGATTTTACACACGTGTGCATTTCCTGATGATACAACAGAGCCATCTGGTGGTAAATGGAACTAGGCATTAAAATACAGCATTCATTCAGTTCCTGTGATTGTTCATCCTGTATGCTGAACCTTGAGGCTCTGTCACTGGTCTCTAAATTCTATGAGATAAGGGGCAAAAAAAAAAAAAATGCTGCATATCATGAACAACCTGGCTCCAAAATCGAGCTCTACCACACACAGCTACATACCCTTCAAAAGTTTGCCTGTAGGTGACAAACATCTTGGGCTGGTATGGTGACACTAGAACGAAGTGAACTAATAGTTCTCAGTATCCCAGGATGTTTCAAGAATGGGTCCAAAAATTCCAAAAAAAGAAAAGAAAAACAAGTCTCAAAACAAAATTCTTGTGTCCTTACATGTAGAGATAAATACAAGCTGTAAAACATTTTATGCAGAAAGGGGGAATTTAAAAGGCCAAACTATTTTTAAAAGTTTGAGAATTCCTGACTTAGACTGTTATCCCCAGGGAGAATCTTCTTGTAGGATGTTTGAGCTCAGGAAGAAGGTTTTAAAATTTGTGTGAGTAGACTCAGCAAGATCACCTCATTCATTTCTCTAGGCCCTTTTCTCCAAACACCCAAATTTTTCCCCAGCCAAGAAGAGCAACCATTTCCAGTAAGACAAAAGCATTGTAAGTCAAAGGCAAAGGAAACGGGCTTAACTTAAGACGGGTATTAAATAACATAGGCCGTTTTGTACAGATACATTTAGAAAATTGTCATGTGTTGTACAACACAGACCTGAGCAAACCATGGAGAATGCAAGGTCTGTCTTCTGCACCTTCACCCCAACTGCAAGTGTGCACTCCCCACTCTCTGACCTGCATTTCAGCTTCCCCCATGCCTCTAAGGGAGTCTATGGAAAAGCTAGCACTTTTTCACACAGGGGACCACCTCCACTAACTGAAAAAAAAGGAAAAAATTAAGTCAAGAACCATTTAAAAATAAGTACACAGGATTAGAAATTTTGGAGATGGGTATGTTGTTTCAAAGACTCTTAAAAAGTTAGATGCAGTCAATCACTGTCCCAGTTTTGCAGGATGTAATGGTAAAAGAAAAAGATAGGACTTTCATCAATTTTATTTTGCTTCTAGGCATGTGTGGACACATGCAATTTGTGTTTAATGATAAAAATGAACACTCTCAATGGTTAAAGTAATTGACAGGTGAATTATATTAATCACCAGTCTGTTACATGACATCAAAATGCTGAAACTATAGGAGATATACAGGTGTTTGGGAACAAAGCCTGTGTATGGATTTCCAAATGGTAGATTCCAAGAATTTATTGATAATTCCATTTTTAATTTCTGGTTTTTGTCTTAAAATTGTTTACCTATCAAACCCATGCTCTAAATATGTAGCTAAGGTATCCAAGATGACCAAACTAAAAATATTAAAAATTCAATAAACTCTTTGATTACACTAAAGACACCTCAACTATTATGCAAGGATACTGAGGTTGATAGTCTACTAATTGAACAAATCTTATGTGAAATGGAAAGAGTAGATTTCCTATTGGTATCAAAGGTTTCTTATTTGAGAATTTAAAGGAAACTTTACATACTATTTTCTAATTTTATATTTCTTGATTTCTCTAATCAATTGCAGTACCTTCTCATTATCTCCTTTCTTGCTTTTAAGGCTTTATTTCTCTGTCCTATAATGACCTTACTCTTCTCCCTACGCCATACAAAGCCCTTCTACCAGTAAGGACAGGATCAAGGTCTCTGATCCATCTCCATGTGCCACACTTTGAAAGGCTCCCATGTGCAGAGGCCAGACAGGATTTTGCTGAACATTTATTAGGAGCATGATAAAGAATTGTTGATGGATTAAAGGGTCAGCAGTCAAGGAAGGTGATTGCACCAGAATGAGCAGTTCTTCATGCTGAGAGGCTGACTTCTTTGAGCAATACTTGAAATGCATCTGGCTGGGACACTGACAGGGGTCAGAGCCCCAGACAAGTTCTGCTTGCCAAGGCCAAGGGCCAGATGGTGCAGAAGAGGGCAAGGAGATGGATGATGGTAGAATTATTGTAAGAACTGAATGAGGCAAAGAAGGTAAATACTTCAACAGATAAATTACACAGTAAGAGCTAGTAATTCCATTATCCCACTCCTTTCAAGAGAATAATTTGATATTAAAACTTTCTAGCTTAGTTTAAAACCCTGAAAGAAAATACCCATAGGGACACTTTTGTAACAGCAAGTGATCAAAAAAAGCAGTGGGAAATCCATTCAAGTGTTTAATTAAGAACACAGTTAATGTATTAAATATATGCATGTGCATTAAGAGCAAGATTTCTAAATAAAAGGAGATTATAGCAAATTCCACCTTTGTGGAAGAGCATTTTGATGTAGATCAATTTTGGAGAATAAAATGTTAGAAATATGCCAGGGTTTCAGCAGCAGCCCCTTCTCAGGGGTGCGGTAACTTCCTGCCAGATAAAACATGGTTTTAACACATTTTGCAGTAGTCAAACTTCCTGTTTGACATCTCATCTATTCACTATTCTGTCCATTTCTCTTTCCACCTGCTTGTTAAGAACCTACGACCCTCTGCTTCCTTACACTTGTATAACATGCTTGTGTTTCTAGTGTAGGTTCAAGTCTTTTCCCAGCTGATCATCTTTGCCTTCACCTGCCATCTATCTTCAGCCCCTCACTCCAGGCATATTTATGTCATCCCTCTCCCCTCACCAGTCATGACTAGAATTCATTGTACAGTGGACATTTCATCTCTCTCATGCCCTGTTGTGCTCAACTTTTGCAGTGGTTTCTTAGGCTAAGTTGCCAATTTCTATTTAGGCAAATATATAAAAACTCATTTTTCCTGATTCCAATTCATTCTGGTGAAAATAAGTTTCCTCTGTGTTTGAGGTTGCCTCAACAGTCACCTAATAAAGTATTAAATTCAAAATGTGAACAAACTACAACTAGAGGTTGTTGAAGTGCCCAACAATATGGCTGAGTGAGAGATGGCTATGGGAGGACATTGAATAGCACTAACTAAGGAGCACTTTGCCTGTAATCTGGATGCCACAGTCCAGACATGACTTGATTCTAAGTGACCATGTGACCTTGGGGCAGCTGCTTTATTTGTCTTGGCCTCAGCGTTTTTATCTTTAAATGAAAAATGTATTGGTTAATGGAATGACTGAGGAGTTCATTTTGCAAAGGTGTTTGTAAAATTGAGGGCATTGGCAAAATATGGTGAGGCAGTCCCTAGAATTATGGGTGCCTTTTGACTTAACTTGACCTGATGAGGTAGGGGAAGAGCAAAACTGATGGATCTTGAAAGAGAGATAGAGAAGAGGAATACAGTCATGCCAACCTGTGCCCAGGCAGTAGTGGTGGTTGGAGGAACAGAGGGTAGTGAGGGAGGGGAAGCAAACCAGTGGAATAAATAGCCTGGACTTCTCTTCTCTCATTTCTCTCTTCTCCTATGTCTCTTTTGGGCTGAACCCAACAAGAAGCTGAGGGTCAAAAAAGCCTGAATGACAGATCCAGAGAGACCAGCTTTCCCTGAAAAGAGCAGAGTGGAGAAAGGTGGAATGTGAATTGGGAGGGGGAAAAACAAATAAATCTCAGCCCAAAGGGGTTTAATTGTATTAGTGGTTTCCAAATGCTAGCCCATAGATCAGTGTCTGTTTGAGATAGCATTTTCACTATTCAGCAACAAAAAGACAAAACAATTTTTTTAAAAAGAACATTGTGAATCTTTCATGAAGCCAAATTTATTCCATTTAGAGGACCATTCTTTATTCTGAGATTATGATTGTTCTACTTTTTTGGGTTTATTTAACAAATAATGATAATGGCATATGGAGATTATTGTGGTTTGGTGTCTTAAAAAATTAAAAAGTTGACAATCCTATGAGAACTACCCTAATTATATTTGGTAAGAAAATTCTTACTAGTTTATGAAATCTAACAGTGTAGAAACACCTACCTAAGTGATCTCTGTTACATTATGAATTGAATGTTTTATCAGGTGGCCTTTCCAGAACTATGGTCCCTGAACTCCCCTGAACTTAAACCAAGATGGACCTATAGTCTATATTAAGTTGTCTGCCTTAGCAAGATTCTAGGATA